TGTGCTCACCTTACTTCTGCCACAAGCTGAAATACATTATGTGGGAGTAAGTTTCACTGAAATCTCAAGGAGGTACATTCATGATGCTTGTTTAGGCACTGAGGTGCTTCTAGGTGGTGTATGTTTTATACTGTGGGTTGTCAGCTAGTCAGAAACCAGACTAATTTTGCTTAGGCTTTGTGAATTTTGGTTTTCTAGGCATATCACTCTAGGTATCATGATAGGGAGGCTACTGTCGATAGTCTGAGGGCTTCATTCATTGGAAGCGGCTGCCGAAAAGGCGAGTCACTTAAGTACTCTGTGTGCCTTTTTGACTGTTCCCTGTGTTCTTAGATTATTTTTCCATAGCAAAGCAAACATGTATCAAGCTGCTGCCCAGTGCTTCCTGCTTGGGGTTTATTAAATACCTAGTGGGCTGTAGCACTACTTGAGAATCTTGAATTGTGCAGGCTTTGGTGGTATGTGTGTTCCTTTGTTTCAGAAATATATAATTTCATAGATTTTTCTCATTAACAAAGTCAGAGCGAACTGGCGTATTTATAGATTTGTCGGGATAGGTAAACTTTGTCTGCCTGTGACTTTTGCGATTAGGCAAATTGATGATGCATTTGCCTTGGCCCTGTTTGTAGTAGTCATAGCAGGTATACCCACTCCCAGGATTATGAGTATGGTTTCATTTGCTATTTCTGTAGTTCTTCATTTTGTAAAGAGCTTTGTTTTCTGTTTTGTCTGCTTTGGATGGTTTCTCTTGAATTTGAAACATTTGCTGTCTGAGCTTTGGGCAAGGGGAAGACAAAAGAGTGTAAACTGGGGACATAGGTCTTGTTTTCACCATGAACAAATCATGGGTCGTTACTGTCTGCTGGCTTTAAGGGACAAATTAAGGAGCTTAATAAAATAGAAGCTTGACTTGAGTTATGCTTTCTTTAGCAGTATCTCTTAGAATAATGCAAAATAATTATGTAATATAAACTATGTAAATTAGTACTGACTTATGGTTATAAAACTTCAGGTTTGCTGGTTGCAGAGTTTGGAAAGGAGGGGTGTATTCATTTAATCAATTATGTGATAAGTCATGTGTGCTTCGTAGCCCCATATATGGCTTGCTCTTGTCCCAGCAGCAGCTGCTACTCTGGGAGTAAAAAGAAATTAACTTCAGACTTTTGCCGTTTGTATTGTCCACAGTTAAATGCAGAAGTTATGCCTCCTGCCCTGAATAAGCTTTCTTCCAGGCACCAGCTGTTACACACCAGCGAGTGCAGAAGCTGCTGCCAGACAGTTGCTGGGAATATGGTATATGGTGTCCTGGAAATTTCAGAGGTCTCAGAATTCCTACCTTATACTACTGCCTTGTAGCTGCTGTTTCAGCCACTCTGAAAGTTCCAGGCCTGAACTCTATTTTGTGGTATATCCCAGCTGATGTGAGCTACACCATATTTTCAGTTCTGTTATATGTCATATGTGCCATGCTGTTAATTTTCTTTTAAAAGACTGATATAAGTCTTTGCATGCCTAGTCATACTTTTTAGCAGGCACACTCTGAAGGCAAAGGATTTTTTTTTTTAAAGAGCTGAACTGCTTAATGTGGTTTCTTCTGTTCAGAGCAATAAAACTGGACAGTAGCATAGAAAATCTTGCAAAGTTTGTTCTGTTTAAGTATTTCTTTTGTTTACCTTCATTCGGTTCCTTTTTAGGGGTCGTTAAGCCATTTAATGTGAATGTTAGTTAAAGGTAGTGTCTTTGATGAGGTGCTCCTTGCCTAAGCCAGAGATTTTGCATGAACTTGTGTTACTGACAGGCAAGCTCCTGTCTTTTTTTCTTCTTCTGAGCACATAATGGATTAATACTGATGAAGGGTGAAGCTAAAGTCAGTAGTAACAGTATATTTTTAAGGGATATTTCTCTTTTTGCTGGTGGTTATTTTTCCTCTTTATCTTCCATATATATGTTGTGATGTGTCAGTAGTTCCTTTGTGTTTTAGAGTCTTCAGGTAAATCAGATAAAGAAAATCCGTCTTCTTATTGATGAAGCAATACTGAAGTGTGATGAAGAGCGCCTAAAGCTAGATGCAGAACGATTTGAGAACCTCAGAGAAATTGGAAATCTCCTTCATCCCTCTGTGCCAATCAGCAATGATGAGGTAGGAGCAAATTCCATAGGCTTTTGGTAAACACATAATGGCAGTGGTATATGTCCTTGCAACATTCTCGTGTAGCTATGTTAATATATTATGCTGGCAGGGCTGCAGGTTGAAACTTGATATTAAAAGTCTCTGAACCAAACTACTTGCTGTGATTTTTAAAGAGTTGGGTTCAGATTCCCCAGACCCAGCTCACATTCCCTGCAGCCACACAGCAGCTGTGGAGAATGGTTTCTTTAAAAGAGAGAGAGAGACCAGTCGGGCTCAGAATGGTGGCACAGGGGGGAGGAAGGGCTCCTACCTCCTCCTCAGCTATTTTCCCACATGAAAATCACATGAAGGGGGGAGTTATTTCCCCTATTTTTATTTATTTATTTATCTAATTTGTACACACACACCCCCCCGCAAAGGAGGCTCAGGGCAGCTCACAGTCAATGCATAAATAACAATTAAAACAACATAAAATCATCTAAAAACAATTCAAGTTATAACTAATACAAATTCATAAAGTGCTGGTGATGGTTAATTAGTTGTTTGAGATGGCTTACTTTAAGAGTGTACACAGAGGTCTAACAGTCATTCTGCTCATGATCTTCCTGTGGCACAGGCTAGATGTCAAAACCATCTATAGTGGTGGTGGCTCCCTAGTTGAAAGCCTGGCGGAAGAGCTCTGTCTTGCAGGCCCTGCGAAACTGCAAGAGATCCCGCAGGGCCCTGATCTTCTCCAGGATTGCCTGGAATTGGGGGACTTGAATATGGCAATTTTAGCTCTGGAACTTGAATCCTAAGGTCCAATTGATACATGCAAAATATCAGTATGGTGGTTTTATGAATCGATCAAAATATTTTAAGTCAGTCCAACTTAGGCAGTGGTTAGATTTTTAAAAATTTGTCTTCCTTCATCCTTTACTGTAACATGACTCTTGCTATTTTTTCCCCTCATGGTGAGCTTCCCCCACCTCTAAATCCTCAATTCTCACCTACTACGTATGATCCAATATGGAGGAATCTCCATTACCTGAGCCATTTGCCTGAAGAACCTGTCCATGCAGTTCCAGTGATGGGCCCTATCATACCTTGGTGGGCCTTGCTATGCTGGGGGGGGACCCTAATGGGGGAATGCTTCAAACAAAAATCAATTATGTTTCCTTGTAAGATCTTACACTATTGAATATACCCTGATGAATATCTTAAAGGATTTTCCCAGTTAACAATAAGATTAAAAAAAATTAAAATAATACACCAATTAAACACAACCCCCTACTTGGACCTCAGAAAAGATAAACATAAAAACTAGGGTTGCTGATTCACAGAAAATCTCTTCCCCCCCCCTTCTTTTCCTAATATTGGTAGGATGCAGATAACAAAGTGGAGAGGATGTGGGGAGACTGTACAGTGAGGAAGAAGTACTCCCATGTGGACCTGGTTGTCATGGTGGATGGCTATGAGGGAGAAAAGGGAGCCATCGTAGCTGGTAGCAGAGGATACTTTCTTAAGGTAAGAATGTAATAGCTTAGTATGTAGTATATTAAAGACTTATTCAAAAAGTAAATTTATGTGAATAGAGGACCAGAGTTGTAGCATATTGTTAGATCTGTGCCTGCCAACTCAAGATATGTGTTCTCAGGTAGCCCCTGCTGGGGTCTTTGTGAAATAGAACGTTGACTGGTCCACTTCCCCTCTCTTTGTCCTTCAGGGTCCCCTCGTTTTCCTAGAGCAGGCTCTCATTCAGTATGCTCTGCAGACGTTGCTCAGTAAAGGATACACCCCTGTTTATACCCCCTTCTTCATGAGAAAGGAAGTGATGCAGGAAGTGGCTCAGCTAAGTCAGTTTGATGAAGAGCTTTACAAGGTAAGGTGCAAGGAAAAGATGACATTTTCAGCACTGCATCAAGGCAGCTTCCAGGAATGTTTTGTTGCATATCTTAATGTGCAGTAAGATTCTTAATGGAATCACATGGAATCTTGAGAGGCTTAACTTCAGGTTAACTTCATGGTCAGCAGCCTGAGTTGAACAGGTCTTTGAACAGGGAACAGAATGGACTGAGGCTGTGGACGTTACGTGTCGTCATACTGAAGGGGCTGGAGGTAGTAATTATGTCAGAAGGGATGCAGTCTTTACAAGTATTTGTTTAAAACATCAAATGCCATCTTTCCACCAAGTAGGGTCTTCAAATATTAAGAATAATCTGACTTGGGTTGAATGGGTCTATTGCTTTAAACCGGGGTTCCACACATGGTGCCCAGGCACCATGACACCTTCCAACAGCTTTTCTGGTGCCCACCAAGTGTTCTTCTAGAAAGTGGGCAGGTAGGGCTTCTGATTATCTGTCTGTTGGAGATTTGATTGGCTGTGCAGATGTTTAAAGTGTTGCTTTGGCAGTAGCTGCCACCACAGCATAAGGATCTGCACTGTGTGACTGAAGTTAAGCTGTGGCAGTCACTTTGTAGCTGACTCCGCCTCCTGTGGCAGCCATTTTGTTCCTGCACCCACCATGCTGTGTTAGAATTCCAAGTGTTCTCATTCTCAAAAAGGTTGGGGGGCCCTGCTTTAGACCCTTTCTTTTCTCACACCCACCTATTGTGACAGTGGGCCTCAGCCAAATATCTCCCAAGGATGAATAAAAGTTAATAGAGATATCAAGCTGGCCTTATTATTTTATATAAACTAGTGTATAGGTTGGTTCCTAAGGTGCCCTTGTGCAAATAGAAGGCAATTCTGTGTGGGATATGTTAGCATTTTTTAATGGTTCATACTAACTGTCTCCTTGAGCTGTAGGCCTCTATACTATACCCTGTGCTTTCACTGAAGAAGTTGGGAAATAGCCTTTCTGCAAACAGAGTTCATAAATTTTAGTGTGAACCTTGAGCTGTTTTTCTGTTTCATAAAAGCAACTTACTTTGAAATGGAGCAATAAGTTGGTATACTTAATCATGTGTCTGTTCTGGTGTGATGCACTCACTACTTCTGTTTTTCAAGGTAATTGGAAAAGGCAGTGAGAAGAGTGATGATAATACCATTGATGAGAAATATCTGATTGCTACGTCTGAGCAGCCAATTGCTGCATTGCACAGGGATGAATGGCTGAAGCCAGAGGATCTGCCCATCAAATATGCTGGATTATCTACTTGCTTCCGCCAAGAAGTTGGCTCACATGGCCGTGATACTAGAGGCATCTTCCGGGTGCACCAATTTGAAAAGGTAATCCAATGCAAAATCTGTTAAACAACTTTGCTGGGAAGATTGTTCTGGGTATGGCACAAGAGAGAGAAGAGGGGCTGCATCAGTTTTCCTCCTTGCTTTGTATTCAAGGGGGGGGGAAGTGCCTGTAGCAGAAAATCCTTGTATTGTTTCAAAGGGCTTTCATTTTGGAACAAATTTTCTCAAGATGTGGAACAGAGCAGTTTGTATATTCCGAGGTCTCTGAAGGATTGTTACTCATCGCTGCTGATAATTAGTACTGAACAGATGAAGTAAAGTGACTTCTTAAACTGAGCTTGACATTTAAGTATTTTGTATTTTTGTTATATTTGGAAGTAATGAAATAAGATACTGTGTACCTCTTTGTGTTGTCTGCTCTTGTAAGCTTGTCTCCACTCTTCTTGGTGCTTCCTAGATAGAACAGTTTGTCTACGCATCACCTCATGATAACAAATCTTGGGAGATGTTTGATGAGATGATTGCAGTTGCTGAAGAGTTCTATCAGTCTCTGGGCATCCCGTACCATATTGTGAATATTGTCTCAGGTACATACACTTCCTCAAATCATTGAAGGTCTGATCCTGTGTATATTTGCTGAGAAACATCTTACTGCATTTAATGATGTAGTCCTGAGTAAACTTACTAGACAGTAAGCTACATCGATCTCCTTAGAAATTGCCACAGTCTCTAGTAATTTATAACTTTATTTGCGTAGCTCCAGTATCCAAGCTTGTGGATATGTACCCATGTTTAAGTTCTCAGTGTTTCACTTCAGTCTACCAAGGTGAATATGTATCTGTTTAGTTGTATTCCATCATCACAACAAATTTTTGTTTGTCTGAGATGGGAATGAACGCAGCTGTTTCCCATGTTTGTTTCCTCCCTTTTGCCTTCCTTCTTTTACCTTCCTTTGCGTGCAGAGTACAACTCAAAACTTTCTGATTTCATTATGCTCCAGTTTGACATGATGTCCAAATGCAGACACCTGGACAAATTATAATTTGTTTGCCCCCCACAAACAAGGATTCTAAACGAGGATTAAACAGAAGCTTAACTATTTTTTACCAGCTGTATTTAGTGTGAAGGCTGTTTCCTATTCTGTACTTGGCAGATGTGGCTATGCAGGTTCAAACTGCTATAATTTCAAACCTAGACTATGGCAGTGTGCTGAATGTGGGGCGGCCCTTGAATACTTCTGGAAGCTTCAGTTGTCATAAAAAGGAGCAGCTAGCCTATAGAGCATGCAGATGGGAGCATATTGTTCCATCTTAAAATAGTTACTTGATTACCAATGTGTTCCTGTGTCCATTTCAGTGTTTTGATCATGACTTTTAAAGCCCTGAACGATCTACTTGAAGGATTGTCTCTCATGGTATGAGCCTACCATACCTCAAATCCTCACAAGGCCTTTTCCTATTGGAACTGTCCTTCCAAGTCATCTGATCAGCCATCGTGCAGGCCTTTCCTTTCCTTTCCTTTCCTTTCCTTTCCTTTCCTTTCCTTTCCTTTCCTTTCCTTTCCTTTCCTTTCCTTTCCTTTCCTTTCCTTTCCTTTCCTGGTGGTGGCTGCAGCATTCTGGAATGCCCACCCTAAGACAATAGGAAATGATGTTTTTCACTTTTTTTAAAGTGGTGTTGTGCTTTTTGGTGGACTTTCTGTAGTTAATTGATGAGCAGGACTGTGTTTGAGAGAAAGGCATACAGTTCTGTCCATTAATGCTGGCCTGTTTGGTACCTTCAGGTCAGGTTTTTGGTAAGGCGCCTTGAACTGATATGGGGAGGAGGAAGGCATATAAATGTGTTAATAAAATAAATCTGTTTGTGTGGAAAGCCACAACCAATTTGCTAAAATGCCTGCAGTGTATCTTCATCAAACTAGAGAGTTCTGCTCTGCATGTGAAAAGCAGAGGAAAAGGGAAGTATGCAGGCCCAGCAAAGAAACTGAATTCATCACAGTCTTAGGATGACTTCTGAATGCAGCTTTTGTCTCTCTTGCTTTTGTTCTATAACTCTGAAATGAATAGGGTGGGGAAGGATACACCTGTCAGTTCCCCTTATCATTGTACTAAAGCAGTGCCTAAATGCTACTTCCTGATATTATAGGTTCCTTGAATCATGCTGCCAGTAAGAAGCTGGATCTGGAAGCATGGTTCCCGGGTTCAGGAGCTTTCCGAGAGCTTGTTTCCTGCTCAAATTGCACAGACTATCAGGCACGTCGGCTGCGGATCCGTTATGGACAAACCAAGAAGATGATGGACAAGGTAGGTTGCATCAAATCTTTGTATTTGTTTATAGTGCTTAAGAGAACTGTGATTGGCTGCAGGCTTGGTTGGCATTCTAAGTTCTGCTTTGAGGCATGACAGGAGACTGGGAGGGCAGGGTTGTATCTTCACTATTGCCATGGGTTCTGTGGGAACCTTTCCACTTATGCCAGGGTTATTGCTGATGTAACAACGCTGGTGCCTGGGATGAGTGCTGGAGAGGTTTATGGTACTGACTAAGCCATTCTCTTCCTTTGACATTCCACTGGTATTATCCAATTCTGTGCCACCACCGAGGATCCTCAGGCTGAGAACAATACTGGGGTGGCACTGGTGTACCTCGCTACTGATGTATCTTAAAGTTATGGTGGCATATCTTCGCATGCTGGTATAGGGCTTAGTTGGTATACTAAATCATACAGAGGTAGGGTTAGCATTGTTCTGTAAGACTTTTACAGCAAAGCTTTCATTTCTGTGCATACAAACTCTTAAGAAATGCTTGTTGGATTGCTGCCTACTAGTGGATTAGCTGGATAATGTCAACATTGTACTAATCCCAAATTAGAGCATGTTGAAAACCTTCGGAAGGAGTACTTCAGTCCTCTTGGCTGGGAAACAGTCGCAGAAAAGACTTAATAGGAGCACAGTAATATAGATGAGGTACAAATATACCTACAAATGTATGAGTGGATTTTGAATTGGCTGCTGATTTTCTATGGAAGATATATTTTGAAAGCTCATTGAAAATGTTTTTATATACCCTGGCACTAAAGAAAAGAGGTACAGAGAATAGGAAATGTTTAATTTGTGTTAACAAGTAATGCAATCCATTATATATATATATATATATTTGAGGGCTTGCCCACACCTGGAATGCTACATGTAATTCTGACACATTTCTGGAGAGTAATGAGATGACTGTTTCCATGTTCTGCTTGTGAACCTTCCTGCGGCATCAGGTTGGTTACTGAAGGAAGGCAGAGTGCTGAACTTAATGGAAACTGGTCTGACCCAACTGCATGCCTCACATGTCAGACCTCTTTTTGTGTTCCAATGGGCCCTGACTGCTGCTTCCTTGGATGTCTAGCATGTAAACATATGTTACTCCACAGCAAGAAAGAAACTAAAATGTAGGTTTACCTATGCTTTCATTTCTTACTTGCTGTGAAGTGACATATGTCTACACATTAGCAACCCAAGTAGACAGCATGACTTACAGAGAGGAAGAGGGGAAAAAACAAGAAAAGCAGTACCAAAGCTTCCAACTTCCAGCTTTGACATCTATTTACAAGTATATGTAATGTGCAGTGAACAAGATGGTGAGGTGGCTATTTTGGAGTGTTGATTAGCTTACTAAAAAAGATGCATTTGCTTAAAGCTGCCTTTGTTGATAAACACTCAGAATGTAATGGGTTTTTCCTTTGTAGGTGGAATTTGTACATATGCTCAATGCCACAATGTGTGCTACAACACGTGCTATCTGTGCCATCTTGGAAAATTATCAGACGGAGGAGGGAATTGCTGTGCCTGAGAGACTAAGGAGCTTCATGCCACCAGGTAAAAAGGATCCTTTCTGTGTAACAGGCAGAATTCTTCTTTTTCTTCCATCAAACTACTCCTGCTGCTGTCTGAATCTGTTATCATCTAGTATTATTGCTCGCCTTTTCAATCTCTACCATAGCTGTAATTTTTCCCCTTAGGGCAAGGGATCCATAGAGATGATTTGCTCTAGGAGTGGCTAAGTTTTGATACTGTCCCTCTGCCTACCTTACTGAATATGAAATCCAAGGACATGGAGCAAGCATATAAACTTTGCATATAAGGACTGTGTAGCTTGTCTGAATGGAAATAATAGGACTTTGGTCTGAAAAGGGATCCTGTTGAATACTTATTGTGTGGCTGTATTTAATATCATCTTCACTTTGCTTTTAGGTCTGAAAGAAATGATAAAATTTGTAAGACCTGCTCCTATTGATCAGGAACTTTCCAAGAAGCAGAAGAAACAGCATGAAGGAGGCAAAAAGAAACCAGCTGGAGGGGACTGTGCGCTGGAAGGGAAGATGCAGAGCATGGATGTGAACAGTTCTTAGTTTCATCTGTTCCTTTACTGAGGCTCTGTCATTTAATGGGTGGAACTGAGGGGCACCTGGATACGAATTGCTGCTTTGTCTCATCCCTTCTATGGCAAAGGGAAGTCACCTTTTCCATCTCAGCTTCCCCCTCTGTAGCAAAGGAAGGTGCTTCCCATGGTGGCTTTGAGGATCCACTGACATTTACCCTGCACTTTGGTTGTGGAAAGTATTGCAGGTGCTGACTATTTCCCCAGCAGTTGTATGTCTTAAAGTATGTTAATTATCTTTAGAAACAGTTTCTGTCCAAACTCCTAGCTGCAAATCCAAGCAGAGGGAACAAAAGTGTTATAGTACATTCACTTCTTGACTGTTTCTGTATAGCTGGAACAGCGAGGGGGGGTTAAGGCAGAGATTAAAAGGGAAAGTAGGTTCACGCATTTATGTAATTTTACTGTAAAGACGGTCTATTCATGGGAGTCAATGAATAAAGCAAACAGCTGAGAAATGAGTATTTTTCTTAGTTGTATTTTGAATTCATGGTATATTTCTTTGATGCCCTAGTTTAGGAATACTATTTGTATTTGTTCATTTAGTTGAGCAACCTAGGTGTTGTGCAAGAGAGGAGGTTGATGTGGTTTCATGTTTAAATAGTCTAATTTACCTGTTAACATATTTGTGCCAAGCTTTGTTCCTAGGTGTGGATTTGCATAAGAACATAAGAAGAGCCCTGCTGGATCAGATGAGTCTATCTACTCCAGCATCCTGTCTCACACAGTGGCCAACCAGTTCCTCTGGAGGGCCAATGACAAGGCATAGAGGCTGAGACCTTTCCCTGCTGTTGCATCCTGGCTCTGGGATTCAGAGGTGTACTGCCTCAGGGATGTGGTGGTTCCCTTTAGTCACTATGGCTAGTAGCCACTGATAGACCTATCCTCCATCTAATCCCCTTTTAAAGCTGTTTATTTCTGTAGCAATTACTACAACCTCTGGCAGTGAATTCCACATTTTAATAATTCTGTGTAAAGAAGTATTTCTTTTTGTCCGTCCTGAATCTACTGCCCATCAGTTTTATTGGATGCTTTCCGCTTTTACTATTTTGGGAAAGGGAGAAAAAGTTCTTTTTGTCAACTCTCTCCACCCCATGTATAATTTTATAAACCTCTGTCATGTGTCCCCAGCTTAGTCATCTCTTTTCTAAACTGAAAAGTCCCATACTCTTCAGCCTTTCTCACAAGGAAGGTGCTCCAACCCCCTAATCATCTTGGTCACCCTCCTCTGTACTTTTTCCAGCTCTGCAGTATCTTTTTTTGAGTTGACAATGACCAGAACTATACACAGCATTCCAAATGAGGCTGCACCATAGATCTATACAGGGACATTATATTATTGGCCATTTTATTTTCAATCCCTGTCCTAATAATCCCTCACATAAGAGTTTGCCTTTTTCGCTGCTGCAGCTCATTGGGTTGACATGTAGATTGAGCTATTCACTATGACCCCAAGATCTTTTCCCCTCTCAGTCTCAGCAAATTCAGACCCCATTAGCCTATACTTGAAGTTGAGATTTTTTTTGTCCCAGTGTGTATCACCTGACCACCAACATTGAACTTCATTTGCCACACTGTCCCCCACTCACCCAGTTTGTGGAGGTCCTCTTGGAGCTCTTCACAGTCAGCCTTGGTTTTCACCATCCTGAATAATTTTGTGTGATCTGCACACTTGGCCACTACACTGCTCACCCCTCACTCCAGATCATTGAAGAATAAATTGTATAGTATTGGCCCCAATACCTATCCTTGGGGGAACCTTCAGCTTACTTCTCTCCATTGTGAGGGAATTTTAAAATGAGTGGGTGAAGGCTTTATTAATTGATTTGTTCAAATTATATCCCCCCCTCCCCGCCGAAGCAGGCTCAGGGTGGCTTACATAAAAGCTGCACAAATATAAAACATACAGATCTTCTTCGTGGTCTCTGTGCTTCGGGAACCTTCAGCTTACTTCTCTCCATTGTGAGGGAATTTTAAAATGAGTGGGTGAAGGCTTTATTAATTGATTTGTTCAAATTATAACTCACCCTCCCCGCCGAAGCAGGCTCAGGGTGGCTTACATAAAAGCTGCACAAATATAAAACATCTTTCCTTTCCGCCGCGCTGAGCAGACCTATCTTCGAGAGGTCTGGCCGGATCGCTGCTTTTGAGTCACTTTTTAGTGATCAGCTCTCGTTTTTTGCCTCAGTTTTTCTTCAGTTTCTTTTTCTTTCTCTGTTTTGACAAAAAAAAAAAGGAGACTTTTTGTTTTCGTCGTCTGAGGTAAAATTGCCTCAGGCCTTCGGGCCGCTGCCCCCCCCCCCCTTGTCGCTGGCTTTTTCTCCTCAGTCTATGGATAAGAAGAAGACAAAAAAGTCGAAAAAGTGGGGATTTTTCAACCGTTGCCGTACTTGTGGAAGTAAATTGGCTCCTCCAGACGGACATAAGTACTGTATTTTTTGTCTTCGAGAGACCCACAAGCCAGACTCTTGTGAACATTGTGCGCAGTTTTCCAACCAAACACGGAAAAACAGCGGCACGTTTAAGAGTTTTCCTTTTGGAGAAGGCGCTTCAACCGATTGCTGACCCGCCGGTTGTTTCCTCTGTCGTCATGTCTTCCGCTGCCGACGCATCGAACTTGAAGCCGTCGACCTCGAACCATCGATACCGACTGGTTCGACACCGATGGCATCGATACCGGTGAACCATGTCGCGTCTGAAACGACGGTACTTGTGCTAGACTCTCCAGACCATACGGTGGAGACAGCCTTGTACGATGTCGACCAAATGGGGCTCGTAAGTCACCAGTTGGGTGCGGAGTGTTCCCCCGGTCCA